ATATCATGTGACTTCGGACATGTGTTTAAGTCTAATCATTAGTGTTCTTCGGCCGGAAGTCTAAATCCTTGATTATTAAGAAATCGGTGTTGACAATGTCTTTTCGGCCATTAATAAAAGATGTTCCTCTCATCAAAATATTCATAGTTTCTTAAGATTGTTTGAGAGGTTGTCATTTGACTTTTCGAAGAAAATTGGGATTTTTGCCAGGCGTCTATAGATTTGTTACAATCAAATAATTGCATCAATTGCATCAAGGATCTATGAATTTCAGCAACATGTATATAGCTAACAATAAGCTAGGTTAGTTTGCAGGTGTTATGCTAGTGATTGGAGAATTTAGTAGGATAATACGTGAAGACCAGGGACTTTAGTTACCCCTCGCAACACGAGCTAGTAATAACAATAAAAGTTTTTCGCTTACTACTCTAACAATATAAACTCATTGTACAAGGTTAGGTATCAATATCTATAAGAAAATTCAACTCCACTACATGTCCAACACTCTTCTCAACAAATCACTACTTTACATTCAAATCTGTTTTCCATACTCTTCAATTCTATTCTATTCTAAAATTAAAATATATTTTTTAAAGCTATTTCGACAGTAAAATTAATTGTCATCTTCCAGCCTAAAGTCTTAATAATAGGTTTCAAAATGGAAGGTCTATACTAGGTAAAAATGGTAAAATATTGATGTTACCAAAGGATTGCATTGGTGTTAAAGACGATTACCACCTTTCAACCTTCAGTCCTAGTAATAGGTTCAAATGGAGGATTAATGCTAGATATAAATAGTAAAAGATCTGTTTTATTTTAGTGTATTTGGAGTTAGTATAACTCTTGTTCCACTTGTTGTACATCAAGCTACAGTTGAAAAACAAGTGTGTCAATCTTAATTATGACTTGGAGACCAACCTGTATATAGTAACCACAGCACCTTCATATAATTAGGTATTAAATTTTTTAAGTAGCTAGATGCTATTCAAGGCATAATATAGGTTTTGAATTTTCTTTTTTTATATTCTTGAGTGATGCTAAAAAGCTTAAGCAGATGAGTCGCAATTGTGAGCCTTGCATTAAATTTTTTCTAGCAAAAAGAGATGTATATCATGTTATAAGATTATAAAATCTTGTACTTGCAAGTTTAAAATTTATAATAAAAACAGTGCGTGAAGACTATACATGTGGCATAAATTATTTTACTGTTGATTCAATTTCTAAAATCCTCAAAAATAATTGCGTCATGACTCAATTATTTATATGTTTTAATAGTGACTCAATTAATTGTGTCAAATAATTGCATCAATTGCGTCAAGGATCTATGAATTTTAGCAACATGTATAGTGAGGATTGCCTGTTTCTTAAATATATATATATATAATTTCAATAAAAATCAAGGTATCAATTATTTTTTTATTTAAAAAAAAAACAAACAAAAAATAAAATTATTTAAAAAAAATTATTTTAATATGTATTTTTTAATTAAATATTAAAATTTATAGAAATTATATTTTTGTTATTATATAATTTATTAAAAAAATAAAATAAAATAAACTTTTTTTTACAATATTTCAATTTATAAAAAATTTTTTTTTTGATAATAATATGAATAATAAACAATAAATAATTAATGAAAGCCTTTTTATTTAAAGATAAAAAAACTATTTTTAGCTTACTGCAGGGTGCAAGAGATCTAATTAACTCTTAATACAAAAGGTGAATGCTATAAAAGTCAAATATTTATTTAAATAATTTGTTGCTTTATTAAATAAAACCTATATAAGCAATTTTCAAACTAAAAAAAACTTATATATATATTTTTATATATTATTATTCATTATATTACAAATATTACTACTGTATATATAATAAATTAAATATTATCTATTGTCAAAAAAAACAATATTTTATTTTTTCAGAGTTTTTATTTTTTGCTAATAATAATTAATATAAGATTTTATATAATTTTCTGACTAGTTGTCAGTTCTTATTAATTTTTATATTCATAAAAGATTTTAACAAAAGATTTTTACTATTTGTATTACTATAATACTCAAATACAATTATAATAACAAAATCTATTATATCAAAAAAATACAACAATCAATTAAATTGAAAAGGTATGTGATTAGTATTCTGTATGAATTTTTAATAATCTCAAAAACAATATTAACAATCTTGTCCAATGTAGCAAATAGATTATAATTGGAGAAAAATATCATTAAATCATAATTTTGGATGTTACTAATTTGGGAATTTTTTTTTCTACTGGATTTTTATATACTAAATTATTCTTTTTTCTAAAAATAAAGCAAAACTAACTATTTTATATTATCTTTACTAAGGTTTTTTTCTCTTATTATTATTATTTTTTTTAAATTCTAGTTCTTGAATATTTTTTATATTATGTATTTCAATATCTTTTTGATATCAAATAGAATAGAGTTATTATTATCTATAGCAATAAATTCTTGATGTAAAGGTCATTTTTTTATCTATTAATAAATAATAAAAATAACTCTAAAAAAAACTTATTAAAAAAATACATTTTTGCTATTATATAACTTATAAAAAAACAAAACATGATACAAATTTTATAATGTTTAAATAATATAATAAGTGTATATATTTTTTATTTTATTATTTTATTGGTTTTTGTAAAACTAATAATACAAGAATATGATAATATTAAATGTGATTTTAAAATAATAATAAAAATTGTCATGTCTTCATGTAATTAAGTAATCATTATCTCTAGGTAGCTAGATGCCACTCAAGGCACAATATAGGTTTTGAAATTCCTTTTTTTATATTCTTGGGTGATGCTAAGAAGTATAGAGAATGGGCTGCAATTATGAGCCTTGCATTTAACTCTTTCTAACAAAGAGAGATGTATGTTATGCTATTGATGTTATAAATCTTGTAATTCACAAGTCTAAAATTATAATAATAAAGTAAAGCATGATAGCCATTTGCTCCTTCAAAAATTGTAATAAAAATGTGTTGTATGTCCAAAAATTTTCTTAATAAACTGTACATATATTTTTGAGGATTAAATAAATAACATGTTAATTCGATTTTGAATAAAAAAATAAAAGCAAATTTATACAGTATAAAATATTATATGTTTATCGAATAGCCGAATAACGGAATTAATTAAATAAATCGGTCTTATTTAATGTTTAAATAATATGATTAATTTTTAACCATATTCGTAATAAGTATTCAGTTACAGTATCTTTAACTTAAATTTTTTTAAAATAGAAAATTTGTCATAAACGAAATTTTTATCATTTCTATTACGTGTATCACGGATTGAATGTTGCTATCTTACGATCGAAATAGTTAATCAAAGTACAAAATGCGATTTTTTTTTACATTAATGATATAGATAGTTGGATTTCAAGGCATTCTCAAAGCTTTACGTTTTCTATATAGTAGTTATGGCGTATCGTTATATCAAACCTAACGCTTAAAGATGCTACGTCCTCGGCCATGAATATACAAAAGTCATAACTTTATAAAAGTTTGACACGATACTTAATCTAGAATCATTGTGCTTAAAAGTCTTCAGCGAAATAAGTTCCCTCATCAATATAAGAGGTGAGAACAGTGCGTTCAGCAAATTTTCGCCCTGCAAGCGCGCGAAGTGCCGCACTTGCTTCTTCAATGGACTCGAAACGTACGAATATCTGAAATAAAGAGAAAACTCGTCGGTAAAGTCTAAAAGACATCAGGATAAAGATAAAAAACAAAACTACCTTTCCAACGCCTGTAGCTGATCCCTGTCCTGGCCTAGGTATTTTCATATCCACGACTTGACCAAACTTAGAACATTCCTCACGAACGTCATCAACAATATCTGAAAAATTATGGAAATGAGAAATTTCAACTATGCAGTATCCTTACCATTGGATATTAGATAAATACCTTCATATTCTTCATCATCGACCAATTCCTCCGGTGTGACCATGTTAAGTAGCTGTAATACAGTGGTAGGTACCATTTCACCGTTGCCAGCAGGAATAAGCACGGATGAGGGCAGGGCGCTCGCAACCCCTACATTTTTGGCGGATCCAACACTTGCACGTTGAACAACGAGCTTGCGATCACCTAATTCCATGTTATTTAGACCTTGACAGGCCAGATCGGTCACGCTTGGATCAACATATTCACAGAATGCAAATCCCTATGAAAACGACAGTAGGATTTTAACCAATAAACACTTCTTAAGCTGGATACTTCATAAATAAATACCTTGGACACACCAGACAAACTGTCTTTAACTAAATTAAACGCTCGAAGCTCTCCAAATGATTTCAGGAGTTCCATAACTTGTTCATCGTTCAAATAAGTGGGCAGCCCTCCAATAAAGATTTTATTGGGGCTATCGGGTACATTAGTCGAGACAACACCAGGGACATGAATAGGTGGGGGTTCGAGGTTCTGTCCTGGAGGTGGTTGATAATCCTTTGGACGTCGGATCTTTAAAGACTGACCTTGAAATGTAATACCATCAAATGCCATTGCGGCCGTCGCCTCTTCAGGAGCACGAAACTAAAATGCGAGATGGAATAAATAAGGAAAATTAAATAATTTGATTTGGTGAAAATATTTATTTAACAATGACCTACCTCAACAAATGCATAGTTTTTGTCATGATTGATTTGAACAGCAATCACTGGATTACCGGGCGCCGTAGTGATATTTAATTGTACCATAGTAGAATTAAAGAATTCTGATAAACCAGTCTGATAATTATAATAGAGAAGAAATATAAATATATCCTAAAATTTATAGATAATAAGATGTGTCTAATTATGTACCTCGTCAATACCATATGGAATATTGCCAACATAGAGACGCCGCGCCTGCCTAGCTAATGATGCGGTTTGTGCGACAGGGCCAGCAGCCCCTTGGCTGACCTTAGGGCGAGGAGGAAGTTCATGTGTCATTCCCATCATCATTGCAGCCCGAGATGGGTCCATTCCGGGTATGACGGGGGATGTGGGAAGAGCTGTAGGTCTTGTGGTAGTTGGTTGCCCAGGGAGTGGGAAATGACCTTTTGAATATTACGTTAAATATTGATAAGTCATTTCGAAATTTTTACCACAACATTTAAAGATAGCGAACTAACCTGTGGCTTTAACCTGTTCGGCTGTCATGCCTTCGTAACCCTGCGGTGCTAAATCCCAATTATTTAACTTTCTTCTCCTCCTGTTGATAGGTGTCACTGATCGAGAACGCGATCGATGTTTTGGACTACGGCTTCGTCGCCTTAGGCTAGGGCTTCGACTTCTTCTCCTTGAACGTCGCGACCTGCGCGCTTCCTTTTCATCTCGTTCTTCGCGCTCACGACGTGATTTTTCACGACTGCGTTCTCTGTCTCTTCGTCTATTCGATCTTTCACTATCACGATCTCTATCATGATCGCGTTCGCGTTCCCGATCTCTATCACGATCGCGATCACGTTCTCGATCTCCCCTATCCCCCTTATCCCCGCGGTCTGATCTGTCACCTCGATCGCGTTCCTTATCCCGATCCCTGTCCCCTCTATCCTTTTCTCGTTTCTTTTCCCGACGATCACGGTCGTCGTCTTCTTTACCAGTTCGATGTCGTTCATTTCTTTCGGGAGAGCGATCCCGATGATGTGGACCACGGTTGTCATATGAACGAAAGGCTATAAAACGGCGGTATGAAAATACCATGCATAGCAATAAAAAGAAAGAATATTTTTATGGGTTGAGTTTCATTAGTATGACCTAAAAAAAGAGAGTGAGAAAGCCCCATTGGTTCGAATCTGCCCGGTAAGATTTCATGCAAAAATATGCAATAGGGTCGAAGTTAAGCTGCGCTGCTTAGATAAAACAAGGATGAAGATAAACAGTTGCATGCTCAGATGATGTAAGTAAAATAAAAATCAATGATTGCCAAACATCTTTGATTTTCTCTTGTTTTGGAACTATCATGGGAAAGAGAACCCACTAAACGTGATTACCGTCCAAAATAAGAAAAAAAGAAGAGAAAAGGAAAAAAACAATAACGACATAACATTAGTGACTATTTTTTCCCAAATTTTCCAAGTAGAGAAATAAATAGGTTGCCGAATGGATCTAACTTTAATGTAACTATCATAAACCATCTAGCTTTCAAAAAGGTAACTAAACTTTTTAACGTCGAGTCAAAAATAATCTGGGCGCGCATCTATGTAACTTTGTCTTAGTCAAAAACGAAACATACCCTTGTCGGAAGTAATATCGCCTTCTTGCTTGGAGTAGGTCATATCAGTCGTCAAAGAAAGCGTGGTTAAGAAGTTTGTGGCCAAATCGGAAGCTCGAGTCGAGGTTTCTAGCATAAAACAAAACGTCATAGTGAGTAACATGATCTTAGGAGTTAGGATCGGGAAAGTTCTGATAAACCTTGAGAATCCTGCGGGTCATCCGTAGCTTGAGTAAACGAAGACGAGTAATCTCTAGATTGTCGCCAGTAATCATCACGATAATTTGAATCCTGTTGAGGGTTAGCCTCCATAGCTAATGATAAAGTTGTAAGGGTCGATCTTCCTGATGAGTTTTTATTGTAAAGTCACGTGACAAAACAGTTGCGTACAAAATTACGCAACGAATTCAACCATCGATCACTTTACGTCAATACCCTTTAACGCTTCGTGTAAAAAATTTAGAATGACACTCAACGCGGAAAATACCACTTTTAGCATTGCTGGCAGAGGCTTAAAGTTAGACACTGCAGAGGATGCACAGGAGTTTGTGGATTCCATATTAAGCCAGGAAAACTTGGAGAAAGTTATATTAAGTGGAAACACCTTCGGGGTGGAGGCCGCACAGGCCATAGCCAAAGCATTAGAGCAGAAAAAAACTCTTAAGGCAAGGAAAATATTTGTATTTCTCTTCATGAACCCTCCCAAGTAGTGTTTAGGGCAACTCTAAAATGAAAGGCCCCATTCCCGAAAACTTCCTAGATAGTATTATCATGACATTGTTTTTACCTCACTATGCATATGTATGTATGTATAGGTGTTTGACGCGTCCGATATATTTACAGGAAGGCTTCGGGAGGAAATTCCTCACGCCGTCAAGGCCTTATGCAACTCGCTTGAAGATAAACAGCTCGTTGAGCTCAATTTTAGCGATAATGCATTTGGTCCTGCGGGCGTTGAACCCATGGTTGATTTCTTAACAAACAATCGATCGCTTAAAATACTGAAGCTTAACAACAACGGCCTTGGTCCCAGTGGGGGTAAATTGATTGCCAAGGCTTTGCTTAGGGCAGCCGAAAAGAACGCCGTAGAAGGTCGTGAATCATCATTAACAACCATCATTGCTGGACGCAATCGATTGGAAAATGGATCTAGTCAAGTTCTCGCCGACGCCATCGCTGCTCACGGCACCCTAACTGAAATTCGCATTCCACAAAATGGCATTCGTTCTGAGGGGATTGTCGCTCTCTCTAAGGGACTCGCAGCTTGTAAAAATTTGCAAGTTCTCGATCTACAAGATAACACTTTTACAGAAAGCGGATCTAGGGCTTTTGCTAAAGCTCTCGTTGAATGGCCAAAACTGAAGCTTCTTAACATTGGTGATTGCTTATTATCGGCAGATGGCGGTGTGATCATTGCCGAAACTCTTTTACTAGGTCATAATAAAGATCTTGAACACCTTAATCTTCAATACAACGAAATAAATAGTAAAGGTGTCAGTATTTTAGCTTCTGCTGTGTCATCACATCTTAAAAATTTGGAATTTTTGGAATTAAACGGTAATTGCGTTAATCCCGAAGATGGTTCAATTCAAAATTTAATATCCGCTTTGAAAGAAAATGGACATCCTAGCGCATTAGGAGAGCTAAATGATATGGAGTATTCAGATGAAGAGGATGAAGATGGAGAAGAAGATGATGATGAGGAAGACTTGGCGGAACCACCAAGTATAGAAAAACCCTCTGTTGAAGAAGATGAAACAGAAGAAGAAAAATCACAGGAAGGTGACATCGAAGATCGAGAAGAACCACCTCAGAAAATTATGATAGTGAACTCACAAGAAGTACACGTGGAACGGGAAATTCAAGATTCCGTAATAGAAATCAAATCACAGGAAATTAAAATTCAAGAGGAGGACCATGGAATTCAAAAAACGGTGGTAGAAGTTAATCAGGAAATTCATGAATCCGTGAGAGAAAAAGATAAATCTATGCTCAAGGACACCGCCGATGCCGGACAACCATCTATCCCAGCAGGGCAAACATCACTCAAGGACGTTGCAAATGATAACAATATCCGGGAGGCAATACCCGAAGTTAAGTTGCAAGAAGTTGATCGCGAGATTCACGAAGGTGACCGTGGTATCTCAGAAAATACAACAGCAAACGAACAGGTCGAAGCACTAACAGAGCGAGTTTCAAGGGTTTGGTTTTTATAAATTATCATGGATTTGTTTTTTGTCTATACTCAAAAAGTTGATTTTCTTTCCTCTTTTTTTTTCAGTGCCACTACCTTTAGCTCTCGAATCCAATATGATGCCGACTTTCAAATTATGTGTCATTCTATTTATATATAACATATTGCTAAATTTGTTTCCATTCAGCAATCATTCTTTTTACGCTTGCTTCCCAGAGCATTATCGCAGCGCAAGTGTGTATATATACGTATCTTATCACATGTTTACTTAGACGAACATTTGTACAACTCAAATGATAGTTCAGATGTTCAGAGTTATGTAACTTTTAGTAACATGAATGTATATGTGACATGTCTTCCTTTTTTTAATCCAAATGAAAACAGTTTTGTTCTTTAAAAACTTGTTACATTTTAAAATAGTTGCAAATCAAGATGATAAAATAGTCTAGAAAATTGATCAGAAAATTATATGGAACCGTGCTCATAGTCATCAGCACACCAAACTTGATATATTCTTTCACTCAAAGCCGGTCCAACCTTTTTCCTGCGAATAATACTTTTGCAAGCATCTGAGATCATTTTCTTTTTATCACCTTCACAGGAATCAAATTCCCGAACCAGCTTTAATGGTGTTGAGTAATTTTTAATGATTTCTGCAGCCTTATCTACGCTGATCCCTCTTGTAGTCATTAACATCTTGGCAAAGGTATCTTTTAATGTTAAGGGCTTACTTTTGCTGTTGAGATCAGAATATGATGCATAAGTGACATGAAAAGTGCGATCCGGGTAAATTAAAGCCAAATTTTGTTTCATTTCCAGAAATGTGTTGCGATAAACAGCATGATCGGGAATGACATACAGTCTAGTATTCTGCAAAGATAACAAAGTGTCAACATCCAGCTCAATCGAACATCTGATGAACGATTTTGACAATACAAACCTCATACATATTCTTTAATATCTTGGTCATTCTGACCAGGTAATCGATGCTTTGATCAATGTTTGCTGTTCGCTTCAAAAAGTATCCATTCAAAATTTGAATCGATGACATTGCTGTCTTAACAGCATTCATTCCAAACTCCGCCACTTCTTCGAGATTATAATCTTCCACTAGATAAATAATTTGACCTGCACCAGATCTTGAACACCTTAATCTTCAATACAACGAAATAAATAGTAAAGGTGTCAGTATTTTAGCTTCTGCTGTGTCAT